ATCTCAGTGCTGCCGCCGCAAAAATTGGCAGCACTTCCGCGTCATTGCTGACAAAATGAAAGTTGCCGCCGCCAAATCCGGGCAGCGCTCTTGCTTCACTATCGCAAAAAAAACGAGCGTCGCCGCCGTAAGACCCGGGTAGCACCTCCTCAATGTCACCCCAATCTAAGTGCTGCCACTGTAAACGTTCAGCAGCGCTCTCGCGTCACCGCAGAAGAACGTGCCGTCGCTGCTGCAAAAATCTGGGCAGCACCTCCCTTGCGTTACAAAAACAGCCGCCGACATCACGCCACGTGGGCAGCACTTCCCCACTGCTGCTCAAAAATGGCTGCCGCCGTTGAAATTCCGTGCACCATCTCCTTCACACACCACTATCACCAAGGTGGTGGCTATGGCAGCCCTCACCCCGCGCACCTTGCAGTCCTCCGCGCGCTCCTTCCTCCCTCCTTGCTGAGATGGCAGCTATGGCTGTACTCCATAGCTATGGCCACCTCCATCTCTTCCTTCCTCCTGCGAACCTCCCTCGCCCCCAGCAGCTCCGCTCCGCCTCACTTCTCTGCAGCCAGCCAGCGATCTCACAAGTGAGAGCCTAGCACTGCTGCCAAGAATGCTTGGCTGCTGGGGCTGGAGGCTGCTTTTATAACCAGAGAAGTGGCTGAGGCAGCCACTCTGCCTCAGCCAAAACTCGGATCTGAGGCCAGCCCTTGATCTGGCTCATGATCAAGGGCCAGATTTCGATCTCAGACTTGAAAAACTCAAGTCCCAGGCTCAGGTATTGAACCTGGCCTGTCATTCTGGCCGGTTTCAGCTTCATCTCGAACAGGCATCTGCCTGTCTATTCCCACACTGTGCGCACCTGTGCGGCACCCACAGCCAGGTGCGCAGCTTTTCCCCCTTTTTTTTTCTGTTTGTACTTACCTCACGGCCGTGGCGACATACACGGCCGTTTCCCTTCCTCTTCCCCTCAATCCTTTCTTTTCTTCTTTCTCTTTTTTTTTTTTTTTTACTTTGTCCCCCCCCCTCATTTTTCTGTGCAGGGGGCAGCTCATTTTCAAAACGAGCAGCCATCCCTTAGTCATTTCACAGACTAAACTAGAGTCAAGCTCAGCAGGGTCTTCTTTCTCCTGCTGCAGCACGCGCCCGAACCTGGACGCCATCAGTGCCAGGTTCCAAGGCCAAGAGTCCTGCTGCCCGTTTTCCTCAACGAATGGGCGCAGGCAGACATTGGCTCCTACCCACACACACACACACACACACAGTCTAAATGGACAGTTCCCTGTTTTAGGAACAAGTCCATTCGATTGTGCTTACCCCATACCAAAGGGGCAGCCCAACGAACGGGCACAGAGAGAGAATAAAGAATCTGAAAAAATTAAGAAAATATAAAAAGAATCTAAAGGAAGAAAATCTAATGAATATCTAAAAGAAAAACAAAAAAATCAAAAAACGTTCAACTCACCACTTTGCAGAAAACGGTCACCCGTTTCCACGGGTGACTACCAGGTGCATTGGGGCTAAAGTGCCCCAGGCAGTTCGGAGGGCACCAAGTGGCGCCTCAGTTTTAGGTCCCCCTTTTTTTTTATTCTTTTCCGTTGGCCTCGGCCAACGGCCACCTCATATCTCGTGGCTGAAAGCCAACCCCTAGGAGCACGGTCCCCAATCAAAGAGGACCGAACCGAATGCTTGAACCTGGACAGGCTTATGGGGACGTGCAAGAAATCAAGATTGAACTTCTTTTCTGCACTTCTACATAAAACACATCCAGATTCAGGAGCTCAACCCTATCCCTTTGCTAGTTGAACCCTGGCCCTAAGCAGGGAAAAGAAACGAAGGGGGATCTCATAAAGAAAAAGAAAAAAAAAATCTAGAAAAGTCTAAAAGAAAATCTATCAAAAAGGAAAGAAAAAAAAACAACTCACCTCAAACGTCTCCCGGTTGCGACAACACCTGCAACAGGTTCTGGGGACTATAATCCCCAGTCACTTCCCATAGCGGCGCTTGGCGCTTTGTTTTAGTTAGGCCTTTTTTTTTTCTTTTTTTTTTTCTAAATGTCGTTGGCTATGCCAACAGCCACATCAGTGGTCACATCGTGTGGCCCCCCCCCACACGATCTGTTGAATTACAGACCCAAGTTCGATCCCATCCGGGCCATCCGGGATCAGGAGAAAACAAAGGAAAATTTTTGGCCGGTTCTCGATCTATGTGTGTCATCTTTGCGCAGGGGCCACTTTGATCTGGGCGCGACAGATCTCAGCTGCGCGATCTTGAGGATCGAGCGGCCGAGATTGGCCGCGTCCAACTGCCTTGGGCTGCTCCAAAACGAGCTAGCCCGGAAGAATGGTTGCAGTCGAGCTTGATCGCGATACCTGCCAGGTAAGAGTCCTGTGCAATAACCTACTGGGCTAGCTCCTATCATGATAATGATAAGAGCAACTCTCATATATGAAGAGCAACTCTCATATATGAAGAGCTCCCCCAGTCAGGTTTCCCCCATACCGTGACCTTGCAGGCTTCGCCTGCCCGTAGCCTTACAGGCCCAGCCTGTCTATAGCCTAGCAGGCCTACTATGCCTGTGGCCTACCGGCCCCGCCTGCCTGTAGCTTCACAGGCCCTTCCTGCCTGCGGCCCTGAAGGCCCTGCGTATCCGTGGTTTAGCAGGCCTTTCGGCCGGTGGCCTACCAGGCTTTGCCTGCCTGCTTCTTCCCTATGGATGACTACCCATCCATACTCCGGGCCCGCCCATCAGGTAGGCCTCGGTATAGGCCTGCTGGCCTCACCCTGGCTCGAGGTCAACCCGGCGGCCCAGAAAAAAAACCTTGCTATTCCTCTCGCGCCGTAGCCCCATACCCCGGCACACTCCTCTTTTTAGCCTACCTCGGCCCTGAATCAAGCGGCTGCTAAGCCGCGGGTCTGCTGTTTCAGTCGAATGTCAATGACGTCAGGCTTTAGGTCTCTCAGTTATAGGGTTGGTCTGAACAACTTTGGCAACGTCCTTCCCATCATGTTCCTCAAATCCAACGAAAAGAGTCGGACAGTGTCTGACCTTGAAAAACTCGGGCAGTCTTGGTGATGTGGACTCTCCAAACTTGTGTTTTTCACTCTCACACTACCTTCTTAACCCGAAAAAAACGTACGTACGTTCTATTCGAATTACCTAAAAAATACGGACTTTTAGAAATCGCTCTTTTTTTTTTCGAATAAGAACGTACGGTCGAATACAACGTACGTACGTTATATTCGAATCTGTAGCATCTGAGACACTTTTGACGATTTTAAAAAACGTTCGAAAAAATCCGCAAAAAAAATATGTTAAAGAAGAATATAATACAAACATATTTTGCCTGAGACTGTTGTCAAAATTTGCCGCCAAATTTGAAGGAAAAAATAAAAAACAGAGCATAATTCTCAAGTTATGTCATGTCTGTGCTTTCTTTTTTGGGGGTGGATCAAGGCTCCAATCTTTGTGCGGGGAGCAGCACGTGCTCGGAACTGGGCCCTGCGTCCCATATAGAATTACACAAGACTGTGAAATACCGGGGCCATGACCCAGACAATTTGACAATTCAAGAATTTATGACACATCAAAAGTAACTGTTGAGTGGTCTTGACCTACTCGTGGAGAAGCTACTAAGTCCAAGAGGGGTTATGTTTGTGGCATTGTGCCATTATCTCGTTTTTTCAAAAAGCATCGAAAGAATTAGGGAAAACCTGAGGATATTATCAAAATTGTAAAAAAAAAAAAAAAAAAAAAAAAACGATATTTTTTTTCTTGATGATCCAATTACCGGTAGCCCCGATGGACCATGGATCATATACTAAACTCGTCAGAATAGGTAATACTGCATATAGAGCACCACGAACACTCATCGGTGCAGGCATTCTAAGCAGATAATTCAACTCTTGTATCAGTTACCGTACAGGGGTATAGGCTCCTTTGGTGCAATTTTTCTGCTCACACTCTAAACTGGGTTATGATTCCCATTCTGTTTAAAGGACGCTGGACCTGGTCTCCAGCAGGTGCAGCTCCCCACCAATAGGATGAACCATCATCAGCAACACCTCAATCCAGCTGAAGATCATTCCACCAGCAGGACTGAGCCGGTTTCCCGCAAGTACAGCTCCCAACCAATGAAATGGAACCATTATCAGCAACACCTCAATCCAGTAGGTCAAAGGTTGCACCTCGATATTCAAAAAAAAAAAAGACGACATTTTGTCCATTACTTTGATGGGTAGAGAAGGATTGAGCCGATTTCGTGCAAGTGCAGTTCCCCACGAATGGAATGGAGCCATCATCAGCAACATTCAATCCAGTACATCAAGAAGGTTGCTCCTCAATGTTCCCAAAAAAAAAAAGCATTTTGTCATTTACTTTGCTGGGTAGAGAAATAGTAGTCATACATCTGTCATTCCTTTGAGGGTGAAGCAAACATCAGACTTGACAACAAAACAAAAAGGAATGTCACTATTATATATTGTCATATATAAGAAAAAAAGGACCTCTATATTCAGGGCTGGAAACCGGGTCCAGCGTCCCATACAAAATTTGCACTCACACACGCTTCCCTTCGTTATAGGCAAGGGATCCGGAGGCAGGGCATTGATTGCTTCCTATTGGAAGGATTTACCGCTGCTTCACCCTGTGATCTGCCTACTCTCTATATGCTTTCTGCTCATCTAACTCTTCACAACAACTGGAAAAAAAAAGGGTCAATCATCTACCATAAAAATGAGATTTTTTTAATTCACAAAAAGGAGTGATAAAAGTGAGGAAAACCCGAAACAAGGAAACCAAAACTGTAAATGTGAATTTTTCGGCCCTATGCCGCAAGCCATTTTGTTGATACTCCAACAGCCTTCCAGCGAAATCCGTCACACCTTTTAAAACATAAAATTCATTCACACACACAAGATTTATCTCAAATGTTGGGTTGTCATGTTCAATTCTTCGAAAAGAGGAATCCACAGCATCCTGCACGCGGATTGTGCACCTCTCCAACTGACTGACTGCATAGCCCACCGTGTCTTCATCAGCTGTGCCACCACTCTGCAATTGTGAGAAATACTCAACACCTGTGATGTCTGCCAGATCAGCCATCCCCTTCATCTCATCTATGACAACGTGTCTAAACTCATCGCATGTGATGGCACCATGAGGACCATAAATAGCCCGATGAAGACACTGCCACAAACTACAAGGCTCTCCTTCTTGTGGATCGTAAGGGATGAAGTACTCTGGGGGTTGCAGAAGTTCCACATTCAGAGGTTCTGGAGCGTCAGTGAACTCTTCCCTATATAGAGCATTCCACTCATTCATGTCCAAAACGGAGTTGAAGAGAGCCTTGAGTGGTGGATGTAGCTTCTCCAGTTTGAAATCTGCCTTGTGCACCAATCCGCACAACTGGAATGCATTTGCGACTTCGTCTCTTGTCTTTGTTCTTACCCAATCACAGACCCAGTCCACCACCATTTGATACGAAGGACATCTTGGGTTCCCTGCTCCGGTCTGCAAACTTGTGTCTTCAAGCGCCGCCGCAATGTACACTTCATAGTTGCGACTATAGTGTTGCTGGAATGATCTGTTGATCGCAACATCAAGTGGTTAGAGGAGGCTGGTCAAAGTTTGGTGGGATGACCATCACATGCACATTCTGCCTCTGCAATCTAGAATTGTCACGCAGTTTCAGGTGTGGACCATAACTATCAAGAAGAAGCAGCACATGTTGTCGATCGAATGCTGTCTGCCGCCTGCACTCAATTGTGTCCTTGAGGTATGATGCAAGTATGTCCTCACTCCACATCCCAGTGTTGTTAACATCAACACTTACCGATGCACTTATTGCCCGTTTGTTTTTTAACTTTGAAAACAAGATATGAGGTTTGAAAACTTCGCCTGCAAGAGAAATTGTGAATGTTGCAGTGAACCTCTTGTGTGACGTAACCCCCTTCCGCAAAAGCACTTGGCGACTTCCGCGCTTTATGAGTGTGCTTGATGGCTCGGTCTCGAAATACCTTGGCACCTGATCCATATTCAAAATATTTTCAGGTGCAATCTTGTATTTGCCAACGATGTCATGTACTTCCTCGATGAATGCTTGACATGTATCTGCTGCATCATCAGGCAAACACCTTGTTGTTGTTTGCCTGCGAGACACAAAACTTTTGCGTCTCTTAAACCTGCACATCCAACCCCCGGATGCACCGAACTCAACATTCTGCTCCACCTCCCCGCTTTTCTTCATTTGATCGAAAATTGTTTGTGCCTTGGCTCGAATATATTGCTCCCTCACACGGAGCCCTTTCTTATTTTTCTCCACCACCCATGCCTCCACTTCATCCTCCAATGATTGAAATGCAACTTTCCTACCCCCCCCACCCAGCCGTCGTTGTGTGTGGCTCGTTGTGGTTCTGTCACTTAGTGTCCGCTTCAACTCTTCTGCATGTGACACCCACTGCTGAAGAGTTGATTTGCTCACATTGTGTTTCTTCGCAACACAGTCCAACCCCTTCCCCTTGACACCAGGCATGTAATCATGCAAGGCATCAAGCTTCATCTGGATAGTATAAGACTTCCTTTGGATCTTCTCCTTGCTGTCTGACTTTGTTGTGCTTGTATGAACCATGTAGTCAGTTCATAATGTCTATCACCTCCCCACAAGTCCGCAAACCCCAAAAAATGAACACTGTCCTGCAGTTTTGGATCTTCTCCTGCAAGTAAATGCTGGCCCACAGGCAAGTGCCTGCAGCTATGGATAGCACTGAAACTGGCCTCAAGATGGGGAAAAAAAAAAAAACCTCACCGGCAGGTAACTGTCCGGTCTCCGGCACCTTGGAAATCAACAGTGTCGGCCTTACGCCCAGAGGCCCACAGGTAAGTTGCAAGTCAATTGTGGCCTGCAACTATGGATGACACGGAAACTGGCCTCAAACGAGAGAAAAAAAAATAAAAAATCGCCAGCAGGTCACTCTCCTGTCTTGCAACCCCTCTTATCTCCAGCAGCTTGGAAATCAACAGTGTCGGCCTTCCTGTCTGCAATGAACCCAAGTCGTGAATACAATGTCGACACTGAAAGCCAAGATTACCGAACCAATGATAGATCTTCATCGACAATAGTATCCAGTAAGAAAGTGGGGGGTGAGATAATCATACACGGACGAAGAGAGGTGGGGGAGATTAGACAAGGGAGAGGGATAAGGCCCACTCCTTCTCCGGGCTCCTCCTATGACAGCAACCCCACATCAGCAATGATCTGAATACAAATTAGAGACTCAGCCTCCGGGTGCCACGTGGCACTGATCAATACATTAATTAGTGCTGGAGCCTCGTCGTCATGAAGACATCAGGTACGTATTCACAACACCTCACAAGTCCTGATCTCATCCCGAATAGTCACGACCCCTCCTTGAAGTATCGAAGCCGATGATCAATAGCCGGTCGTAAGGATCCGACAGTACGACACGTGGCAGCGCCACGTCAGCAGCAATACGTGGC